TATTGATACAAAAATAATTTTATTAGATTTATGTAAATAATTTTATTTAACCATACGTTAAATGTTAAAAATGGTTGACTGCAAAAAGTTAAAATTAGATAAAATTACTCAAAGATAGAGGTATTACTTTCAATATTAAAAATGATTTTAAAAAAGTAAACTCTCCAAATAGTCCTTTGTAAAGGGAGAATTTCCATATTTCGTCCATATTATCAAATAGAGTAAATTCTATAATTGGTCTTTTATAACAGGGGGGTTCCTTATTTAGTCCTCTATTATCAAATATTACCCCAGTGGTCCTTCTTTTATGGGTACCTTTCCACAAATAGTCCTTTTTTTATCTTCTATCATGTTGGTGTTAATTTGAGGGCTAAAAGTGTAATTTTACAATGATAATATATCTTTTTTGTCATACACAATTCCATAGGCTGTTCTATTTGTGTCGTTTGTGAATTACAGTCGCTTTTTACGACAACTATAGTCTACAAATGTGATCTTTCGTCAGAATCCTAGCCCACAATAATAGTCATTATTTTTGTGTTATCCGCTTAACCAATATCAGAACACATCACTAGACATAATGTTGATGTCAAATTATACTTTTAGCCTTTAAATTAACACCAACACGGCAGAAGATCAAAAAAAGGACCATTTGTGGAAAGGTACCCTTAAAAAAGGGTTACGGGGGTAATATTTGATAATAGAGAACTAAATATGGAAACCCCCCTATTATAAAGGACCAATTATGGAATTTACTCTATCAAATATTATTTTTGTGGTCCTTATTGATTGGGTACCATTCCATGTTTGGTCACTGTCTAACCACATGGAGACAAAAAAAATAGACAGAGGACTAAACGTGGAATGATACCCAATTAATAAGGCCTGTCAATATAATATTTGAAAAATGTGGACTAAATATGGAAATCCCTCATTTATAAAGGACTATTTAAAGAATTTACTCTTTTTTTAATTTAAAAAACAGATGCTTATTCACGAGCACGATTGAATTAGCACGAATATAGGTTTGGCTGACCGTAGAAATGCATGTTTTACCCTTGTCATTTTTTATGAATTTTAAAGAAAAATAAGATAAACTTCCTAAATCTAAGGTTACGTTCACGATTCATTCTCTTTCATAAGATCTTATTCAATTCTCACATGCTGCCAATATATATATATATATATATATATATATATATATATATATATATATATATATATATATATATATATATAAGGGCTGGTTCCCGTGAGAATGCACCTTGTGGAGAGAAATGAGAATAAAATCTAACCGTCGGATCTGATGCATCGTGCGGCTCGGATTGCATCCTGCGCTCAGATTTTGAGATAGTACCTTTTCGAAGGTTTATGGTGCATTTCGACGTGATGCATTTTCGCACCATTTTGGTGCATCTAATTTTGATGAAATCTTGACCCTTAGATCTAAATATCTAAAGCAACAGATTCATTCTCATTTCTCTCCTAAGATTGCATTCTCACCAGAACCAAAATCTATATATATATATATATATATATATATATATATATATATATATATATATATATATTTTGGATCAAATAAGAATAGGATCTAATGAAAGAAATAAGAATTTGTCTCAACCGTTGGATCTACTACTCAATTACTATGCCTTCCAGGACGTGAGATGGGCACATCGGTAAATTTAGTATTAAAGCGTAGATCTCGCGATCTCAATCCATTCACCGATCCAATAAACCTGCACAAGATGGCGTTTCTCCTCGCTTGCCCTTTTCCTTCAATAACTTGTTCAATCAAAATTGGCTTCTAATCTGATCATTTTTCTTGTAGGGTTCATATATGAAAACAACATGTAAGTCTTCTTCTCTATACAAGATTTCTTTCTCTGTTTTTCGTGAGAAACCATATCTGATTGAAGTTAGACGGGTTTGTTTTTTCAATTCATTTCTTTTTTTGTTCAATTTAATCTTGTATGTTCAATCTTTGATATTCACTTATTTGTTTTGACATAAATTGGGTTAATTTCCATATTCATTTGTTCATCCCTTCAATTTAGTCTAGTATTTTCAATCTTTGTTGTTCGATTATTATTTATTTTGCCTTGCCTTAACTTTGTTGTTTGGTGCAAGGAAAAAGTAAACAACACTGTCTAAAACTAGAGAAAAAGACTAATAAATCAGAAATCATGAGGAGACCAACAAGTTACATATGTATGTAAACATGTTTCTTGGTTCAATCATGCATAATTTCAAAATTTTGTGGTTCTTTTCAAATATAGTATTTGTGCATCGTGTAGTCGTAATAGTACATGAAATTCAGTTTAGAGTGCATTATCTACAATGTTAGAACTATTCTAGAACTAATTAGAACAACACACTTTAGATACATATTGTTATTTACTTGGGTATAATTTTGTGGTGTAATATTTCATTTTTCTTATTTTTTTGAAATATAATTGTACTCACTAATTTAGAGTTGTAATCTATAACTCTCATTTCTTTTCAAATATATTTTTTTCTGAAAAAAATTTCAGAAAAGCATTTGTTACTCTGCATTCTGCTTATGTTTGATTTTGCACTGTCATGGATTTTGTAGTGATTCTGCTTATTTTTTATTTTGCCCCCATGATTTTTCTGATGTATGTTTATTGATATGCAACATGACAGATTTGAAATTTGAAAGTGGTTCTTTTGAAATGCAATATGAGTTCTTTTATTGTGATGCGATTATAGTCTAGGATACACTATCGTTCCATGAGGTAAAAATTTAACAACATGCTGGTGCGAGTAAATAAAAAGATGCTGCAATTGTATAAGATGAGGATGCTTACAAACAAGAAGACAATGCATTATTAATTTATGTGCAACAACTCCATTTAACTAGTGTTGTGGAACTGCCAGTTTTATTAATTATGCCACTGCCAATTTTTTCTAGTCATTACAAACCCCATAATTGATGACATGATGTAAATGCTTTTTTACTTCTTGTTCATAGTACAAGTTACACACACTCAAATATCATGTAAATACATTTAATTTTTCACACATGATAGCTTAAAAGGTAAGAATTTGAATTTGATATCAAAAATGGTAGGGGTACACCAATTTTTGTACCCCATTTTTACCCCCCCTCCATCTCCACCATACAAAAGCAAGAAAATAAAAGAAAATTAAAAATATAAAAGGAAATCTATGGCTATGATGGTTGGTGTACAAATGGGGTACATCATTTGGTATTCCCCTAGCATTCCTCATTTGATATAGATTGCAGTAAAGAATGTGCATGATGCATTGTAAGAGAATTGTATTGAAACAAATGATGGATACTGATGGTGATCTTAAACACCATGACTTTATCTGGTGCAGTAGTTATGCATCCATGACTTTATCTGGTGCATTTTGACTAAGGTATACACCGTAAAAATTTAGATCTTTAAGCTAATTTCAAGACATTGTAATTACATAAAGTAATTTATTGAGTGTGCTATTGGTTATAGCCAGTAATGAATACACTGAATAAGTGAATTTTATGCATGTGTATAAATGTGTGGTAAACTTTCAACCGAAGCTTGATTTAATTGCAAATTTTCATTTGACAAAAAGAAATGGCATGACTTTTAATTCTAGTTAAAATTTTTTAAGTTTAATGAACAAAGTATACATAGTTTATGTTATTGTGCATTATTAAAGTCAACATGATGCTTTTACATGAGAAGACAATGCATTGTAAAAATGTTAAGGATAAAAAGCATTTGTTACTCTGCATTCTCAAAAGCAAGGTGAAAATTTTTAAAATTGATGATGCATTTAAAATGTTATGTTCTATATATGTATATGGGTTGAATAATGCAAATTTTAAAGGATTAAAATGCATATTCAATGTGTAAGTGTAAGATGAGAGTCTCTTTAAACAAAAAATATTGCCTATTAGCTCAAATGGTAGAGCGGTATGTAATACAGATGTGGGTTCAAATCCTGCATAGGCAAACTCGAATTTCTATTATAATTGTTATAAATACAATACATTATTAAGTTCTCTCATCTCATTTAAAGTCACTTAGAAGTCATTATTCACTAATCCATAAATTAATAGAATAAAATTTAATTTAAATCTAAACAAAAAATGAAAGTGCATACATCGCTCATCGCAAAGGATTCACATTTCACATTGGATCTAAACTGGTGGATATCACAGTGCATCTCCAAAGAAAATGGCTAAAAATGATTTATTAATAATAGAGAAAAAATGTAATATATTTTATTTTTATTTTTGAAATTTGTGAAGATAATTTCAAAATCACACATTCCATATTGGTTTTTGTTGGATATCTTGATATTCTTGACTAGAGATTTTCTGTTGCATATTATTTGTCAAAAAATGGACTTGTGTATAGAAAGGTTGATGCACATTACATGATTATAATAAAATAAAATGAAATTATTATTTTAGTATAATCATTAGTAAGAGGCCCTCATTAGTAATGATCATTTGCATTTAAAAAAAGGGAGCACGACTGTTATGTACTTCGTATTTCAAAAATACTAATATGCCCTTATGAACTAATCTATCCCTACATTAACGCACTATTATTATTACTTCCCTTTTTTATTGCTTTTGAATTGCCACATCCATACTAAATAATAGCCATCCAATAGATCTAATCCAAGGGATGTGCTTCATTCTTATTTCTTTCATTGAGCTCTATTCTCACTGGAACTGCTCCCTATATATATATATATATATATATATATATATATATATATATATATATATATATATATATATATATATATATATATATATTACTATATACAATGGTAAGATGATAATATGAACAGTGTTCCCGCCCATTTGTTAAGCTACAGTAGCTGCATCACTTTGGACCGCACATTCCGCCCATTAGCTTCCTGCATACTCTTTCTACGGATGACACGGTGAAGCTTCCCGCATACAGTTTCTTTTGAAGAAAGAAAATTTCAACCTTATTTATAAAGAAGTACATATCTCGATCGTAGCATTTTGTTACTAAAATTCCGCCGGATCAGCGGATCTTCGCCTGGAAGCAGCTTGAAGACGGCCGGACCCTTTCCGAATACAACATTCAAAAAGGTAAAACGTTTAATCTAGGGTTTTGTTCTTGATGCCTTTTTGGATTCAATTGCCGTGGAATTTCATCTTTGTTGGTGCTTGATTTGGAATTTCATCTTTGTTGGTGCTCTCTTTGTTTGTCATTCGCTTGAGTCAACCGTAAGCTTAATCTAAATCTCTTTTTTGTTTATTTTGAGCAACTCCTATTTTGAACTAGACAAAATCAGGTTTTATTTTAACATTTAAAACCGAAGAATTTGATCTTGAAACATAATAATCAAGCACCTGGGAAGGTAAACTTAGAACACTGACGAGCTAAATTACTCTTAGTTGTGTTTTGGTCTAACTTTAGGTTAGGAGCTCTATTCAATTGCTAGCACCGAAAAGCTTTTAAAATGATTTCAGGGTTAGAATGAGAAGCTATTGTGATTTGAGATTGCCATACATTGGGAAGGTTTTACTTGATGAGGAAGCCTTTTTAGCAGCCAAAGATTTCATGCATTCAATTGCTTCCATCTGTGATCTTGAATGAAACATGATTTCTACTCATCAATCTGCAGATTTAGTTACATATATGTGTGATTTTGTAGATAAAAATTAGATCGGGTTTGGCTTCTAGACTTCTCGAGCTATGCTCAATATGTGTTCGAAGAATTGCCTCACAGAGTAACAGAGATGTATGGTCCAGGAAATCAGCAATGGCATCTTAAGGCAGAAGTTTGTTCGGGGTATTTTTGGTATTTATACTTCAATTATAGGGATATTACAACATTTAGGTTTAGCTATATATGCTGTTTTTACTCAATGGCCACAAATCATTTTTCATGGTATAATGATTGCAGCCAAATTCACAAAACGAGTGATGCCCTGAGGAGGATAGTGGTGGCTTGGATGGGTATGGAGGAAGCAGTGTTCAAAGGTCCCGGGTGATGACACTAATCTGTATCTCTATCTCTATCTCTATCTATACAAAGATACGAGGCAAATTGGAACAGTAAATTGACCAATTGGAAACAGTGTTCCTGTCAGCTTCTTTTGTAAGCTAATCTCCTGTGCTCTATACGCTTTTCTTATCGGGGGCTACGCTTTTCTCTTCGATTTTATCAACAGGGACTTCGGACGAACAAGGTGGGAGACAATAACGCCGGCTAACCTTCAACCCTAGCCTGGCTGGATTCTGGCGGCACGGAGGGGCTTTGACCGGAAATTACAGTGCATCGATTGGTCTGCGATGAATGAGAAGTCAACGAGCTCAACCAGGTGCATTTCAATGGATTACATAATCTTTTATATTCTGCAGCTTCAAGCGTTTCATCCAGTATTTTAGATCTCTGATATTATGCAGCTCCGGCCAAATACTCTAACGGTAGAAGCCAGATTTCATCTCAATCTCCTAAAAGCATGAAAAAGATCCGGCTAAAGCATGGGTGTATGGTATATAGACAAGACGGGTAAGAGAATCTATCTTCCAATATTACATTTTCTTCATCTCCATTTGACACCATGTCAAATTAGATGCTCTATTTTTTGTTAAGGCAATTAAATTTAATTAGTAATTTAATTTCCATTAAGGTTATAGTACTGAGTGTTTCAATGGTAGCAGCTTAGGCCAGAGTAATCTTCACTTTTCTCATTTAATCCATCACACGGACGATATTAGAAGCGAAATTGGTTGAAAATGCTATTTGGAAGGAAGAGTTGCATCAGTTGCTGGTCTAAAATTAGTTCTAGGTATTTTGTTATTTTTTGAGAAAATTGTTGCAATTTCTTTTCAAATTATCCATGATTTAGTTTTATGTTTGGATTTGGTTGTGAATGATTTGGAAACTTTTGTAGGATGATTTGGCTATTCTTTTATAGGGCGGCAGAGAGCTTATTCAAGTCCAAAGGACTATTTTTGGGTATGTAATCCTTCCCTTTGTCTTTCTTAGTTTAAAACTCGAGCATTCAATACATAATCCTTTAATTCTGCTTGTTTTGATTTTTTTTTACGATATTCTAAAGAAACTAAGATTTGGTTTGCAAACATAATTGGATCAGTAGTTAATAATTATTATTATTAATTGAAACTTTTATGGCCTTGATGTGAGGTTTTATGTGCTTTCAATGTTTAAGATCATCAAGATATGTTTTGTTAAAGTTTTAAAGTGTAGTTTGGAAATACCTAATACAATCAAACCTTGGTGCACAATGTAAATTTTTACACAATAAATATTACCTCATCATTGCCAAAGAAGCTTCTTCAGTATCTCTTTTTATTACATTATACAGATTAATTTCTGTGTATAAATTAATTTTTAAAGGTTTAATTTGTTCTCCAGTCTTTGGTCCTCTCTCTGCAAACTGGGCGACGAAAACCTTTGCCAGCCAAGGGTTTCAAAAGTAGCCAGGACGACAACAATTGGATTTCACTGGGGCGAAGAAGGTCAGGTTCTTACACAACTTTAATTTCCAATTCAATTTAATTTGGCTCCAAAACATGGATTCAGACTGAGTTTATGGACTCCGTTCCTAGGCAGAGGTTGATAGAGTTGGACATAGGCAGTAATCTACGGTCATATATCTTTCTTTGTTCATATTTATTTTATATTTTTAATTTTATCTGAAACCTCAAAATGAATTTGCTGAATGTTGATGCATCTTGACCGAATATTAAGTAATGTTCTCTTCTCTTTTGTATTAGCTTTTTTTATTTATAGGTTTGTTTAGAAATTATGCACTATGAATTTTAAAATGCGCATATGATGGTTTATCAAGAGGGTATGTGGCTACATTGAGTTATTACATTTTGTGTTTCATTACGATTATTTGTGTCTTTAATGAGATTGTAGAGGCAAAGCTAAATTCAACACTCAAGATTATTTTGACTTTTTATGAGATTGTAGGGATGAAATTGAGATGAATACTTCACTTGATTCATCAGTTTGTGTGTTGAGGCATATGGAAGGACTATGTGATATTCATGTTGAGGTAGAGTTTACCATATAATTTTTTGGTTTGTATTAATTTTTCATTCTTAATAGAGTGAAAACTCGCTCATATTCTTTACCTTTGTATCAAAAGCTATACATATATATCTCTATTAACTTCTTTAGGAAGGTTTGAATGTCAATGCCTGAACTCACCGCCTCCCCTTTCCTTGAAAAAATTCACAGAAACTTTCTGGTGCAATCCAAGAAAAATAGGAAGAGGCTTGGGTCTTTTTAATTACTATCTCTTTTGATAGCTTTCCCTCCTGTTGAAATGAGTTGATTTCAGTTTTACTAAGACACTTATTAAAAAATATTCTCTATCTTATGTGCACTATGGGGTAATATCTTTAACCATGTAATGATTGTCAATTGGGGGAATACAATAGTCATAAATTTATTCTTTGCTTCTATTAAGATAATAGTTTGAAGTTCACAGACTCAGTGTTTAGCTACTTAATTTTCAATTTAAAATTCCCTTCCTCTTTCTCAATTTAAAATTTGCATTATATGCATGTTTCCATCTTTCTTTTTTTTTTTGTAAATTTTTTTACGATCTTCAAAAGAAACTTAGATTTTTTTAAGCATATTTGGATTAGTGGTAGAATAATTGTTACTAATTGAAAATTTAATTTCCTTGAGGTGAGGTTTTATGTGTTTTCAAGATCTAAGATCATCTATATATGTTTGTTGAAGTTTCTGTACTTTGGAAATGCCTAAAAAAAATTTTAATACTCCGTGTGTTGGATTCTTTTTAGGCGAGAGAGAGATGAGTTTGATCTATTCTCAAAGTTGACAATGGTGAAGTCGGACGGCTAATAACAAAAGAGATTAGTATCTGGAGAATAGAGTATCAGGATAGGATCAAAACGATAACTTTGTCCATAGACGATTTAATTCATGTAATCAAAAAACTACAGACGACGAGATAACACCATTTTCTTCTTTTTATTTTAAGTTATTTATATTTAAATAATGCTTATAAGATTTTTGGTACTTGGGGATTAGTGAGGTAGGAACCATCAATTTTATGAACGGTGCACATGAGCACCCTCGAGTTATCCCATGACATTAATTTCGATGTCATGGTAACTGGCCTCTATTTTTATTGGTGTTAACTCAAATGTTTATAAGTTTTTTTCTATCGTATAAATTCTTTTTTTTATTTCTCACCCGTCCACTTTATTTGAATCTAATTCATTTATATCATATGGAGTGAAATTTATTCATTGTTTCTTTAAAATAATTGTTAAATATTCATACCGTGCAACACACGGAAAGTGTTAAAAATTTTGATTTGCAATAAAGACCTTCATTCATGTAACCAAATTACGAATGTAGTTTATGAAGATGTGTTTCAAAACTTATAACACTTCCAAAACAATCCTTCTTTTTTCTACCTTTTCAATTTATATAACCTTTTTCCTTATTAAAAATACTGAGTTTTACTTCAAAAAAAATATTGAGTAATTATTTGTCAATTAATAGCCCGTGCATCGCACGGGTACGAGTCTAGTATATATATATATTGGCAGCAGGAAAAAATTCCCGCCTAAAACACTGGGCCAATTATAGCACGAATGGGCCAATAATATTTTGGGCCTCAGTATTTTTTTAGAACTCCGTCCCAACTGATTGAAAACTACATATAGTAAAATCTAAACCAATTACTGTGTAACTGCACGCCACCATCTCATCGCCCTCTCTCACTCTCACATAACCGCGCATCAGAATCTCATCCTTTGCGCAGTAGAGGCCGGTCGTCATTCATCATCTTCCTCCACATTAAAACCATGGCTGCGGTACATCCAAATTTCATTATCAATTTCTTCATTTTCTTTAATTTCGTAATTAAGGTTTCAAATCTATCATCTTCCCATTTATACTCTTATATATCTTTGTATTAATTTCATATTTATTTTTATCAATTTTGTCGTTTCTTCTCAAAAACAAGTTTGGATTTTGTTTAGATCCATTTTTTTAAGTAAACCCTAATCAATCCAATTTATTTTGATTCCTTAACATGTTTTGTTTTTGTTTTACTACACTGATTTTTTTAAATTTTGCAAATATAGGATATATTTGTGGAACTCTATTAATGGGTGATGTTAAAGTGGACAGATCTGTTCAACCAACAGCTCATCATCTTCCTCGCCGCTGACCCAGGGTATATCTGAATTTCAGCATAAATTTCTTCATTTATCTTTCATACTTAGGGTTTCAAATATATCTTCTTATCATTTATGTATATCACCTTATCAATTTCATATTTATTTCATCAATTTTGTATATTTATCACCAAAAATAAGTTTGAGTTTTGTTTAGTGTTGATATTAATTCATCATTTTTCATTTGGCTTGAAATCAAGAGAGTAAAGCCTTAAACTACCTCATTAAGCCTTTAAAAAATACTTCAGTAACTTCATTTGTCATTAGGCCTTGCCATTTTTCTTTGTCCAAGTTACATTGTCTTTTTAGTTGCATATACCCATTTACTACTGTTTATTTCCTAATCACTGATTGTTGATACCATGTTACTTTACAATCTAAATAGTAAATATGCATCGTCTCCCTTCAATAATTTACTTCTAGCATTATAAAATTTACTCTTAGCATTTCAAACTTTTCCTTTTCGAGAAGTTCAATACTCCCTCCGTCCGGAAATATTCTTCCCACTTTCCTTTTTGGTCCGTCCGGAAATATTCTTCCCATTTCTTTTTTTAGTATGCTTTTTAAGGATAAATTTCAATAATATCCTTCTATTTTATCACTAATCTACTTTTTTAGTACTTTTGTAATAATAAAAGAAGATTTAAAAGTTTATGGTATGTGCATTTTTAAAAATTTTGCATTTTTTTTACTATTCCTTAATAAGCGTGCCAAGTCAACACGGGAAGAATATTTCCGGACGGAGGGAGTACAATTTTTTCTAGGCTAAGGAATGGACAACAAGTCAACAACCATTGGTTTCTATTTTTGATAAACAGAAATGGGTTTAAGACAAAAGGATCCGTTAGATTTTGGAAGAATATGATTTCAACCTTTTATTTATTTGTAAGTAAATCCAAAATTAGCATAATGCAATTCATAAACAGAAATGGATTTCAATTTAAGTATGATTTATAAATAGAAATGAGTTTATAAATCCAAAGTTAAGTATGATATCAACCTTTTATTTATTTGTAAGTAAATCCAAAATTAGCATAATGCAATTCATAAACAGAAATCGATTTCAATTTAAGTATGATTTATAAATAGAAATGGGTTTCTAAATCCAAAATTTAAGTATGATATCAACCTTTTATTTGTTTGTAAGTAAATCCAAAATTAGCATAATGCAATTCATAAACAGATATGGGTTTCAATTTAAGCTTAAATTCATAAACAGAAATGGGTTTATTAATATTTGTAAGGTACAATTGGCATGAATCATAAATCATACTTAACATTTTTAAAATTTATTTGTCAGTTTACATATATTTATACCAAAATCTAAGGGATCCTTTTGTCTTAAAACCATTGCTGTATATGAATTGCATTATGGATCTATGAACTTATAAATTGCATTATGGAAGAATATGGATTATTCTTTCAATCTTTTATTTATTTGTAAGTCAATCCAAAATTAGCTAATTATTATTGATTTTAACTTTTGATCGATCTTTTCCTAAAATAAGATCATTGGCCTACACAAGAGGACTCTTGATTTCTTCTATCTTCCATGTCACTGCCTTCTGCAAAAATAGAAATATCTGGTGCATTGTTATTGATCATTGACTGTATTGTGTGCAAATTAGGAGCGGCAGAATGATAACATGAATAACAGTGAGAAGCAAAAGGGATGTGGCGATAGCTTCTTCTTCTTTAAAGTTGGAGTAGGTGGGGGCGCATTTTGGACGATTTTATGGCTAAAGTAAGTTAAAATTAATAACATTCCCAACATGGTGTTTAGATTTTGTAATTTACATTGGAGAGAAGAATTTGATGTGACTTTTTTTTAATTCCTATAAGCAATTTGAAACTAGCTCTTAGAAAGTTTTTCCGTGTAAAAAACTGTAGAACTCCAAAATCTTTTGGATTAGATGGCTTATGGAGTCCATGCTTCAAGATACCTTTTTTTGTTCAGATCCACTGAGATTAAAGAGGAGACAACGAAAGCAACTTATGAGGAGAAAATTTGGAATGGATAACATGAACAACAAGAGAGCACTAGATTTGATTAATCAGATTTAAGGAACTCATCCATGTTCATTTGTCCTTAATTAAAGAGGACAATAGGGGTATTTCTCTAATCCTAAATCTTATTACTTCAACTATGAAATACATCATCAACAATGTTCACTCTATACCAGCACAAAGACCCATCACAAGGTTAGTGAAAAAGGATTTATAAATTCTAACTATTTTTTCAATTCCTTTTCTGTTGCTAATTTAGCCATTTAGGATTATTGAGATCCCCCTCCCTTCTTAATTGAAGAAAGTTGGCTGCCATTTTTCTCAATAAGTTCTCCTAACAATATGGAGAAATAAAATCAAAGTAGATAGTTTTAAGACGACAAGAAGATATGAACGTTATCGGGGGGTTATTGAAGTGGTGTTTGATTGTCTTTTATGCTCAATTTGTAATTGTCACCACCTCAAGTCTATAAGGAGATGACTTTCCATTACTGAAGTGATGTTTGACTATATTTATGCTCATTATAAGACTATTTTAATTTATACCATATTTTAGTATAATTACAATCACACTAATGAGGTTTGCAGATGATCAAAGACCATAGTTTCTGCTAAAGGAAAGTCCCGATGGAGCATGAGAAAACATACAAGAATCTTTAATATAATGAGCAACAGATCATATGTTTTTTTTCTATTTGGATTGCTAAGACCCAAAGCAATTTCTTTTTATTCCTTACTAGATTCTTTTTTGGATTAGAAGTAGATTTAATAAAGTTACTGCATCCACTAGCTTTGATGGAGGGAGTATATGTTATCACGTTGGTTCAAAAGCATTTTCTGAGAAACACTTTGCAGTGAACAACTAATGTAATATTAAAAGTGAGGTATATGTAGTTTTAAAGAAATGAGTGATACAATGATGGTGGAGTATTTTAGTTGATTAGAGTAAGGATCCAGCTGCTGAGACATACAGTGTATGCATTAAGCCTGTTTTTCATCACGCATGGTCTGGGCAGCATATTTAAGTCTGTGGAAACTTATTAGTTTTATTCTGCTCTTAGTGTATTTTTTATAGATTAGTACGTGGCATATGTTTTAAAAGACTTGATAAGTGTAAAACTATGCATTGCTCACCCAAGAAAATGCTCATCATTTCCATTATCACTACTATGGCCCCCAGTATTTGAGTTGCAATCAATATGTTGTAAGGCTGCATAGTATAGTTTGGAATTGAATATATATGTGTCTTTGATACATTATATATAGACTATTTTTTTGTCGTCAAAGATTAAAATACTGACTTGCGATGAAAAAAAATCCTCTGGAAGATACTCAGAATGTTGTATATGAAGAAGTTTTCCAAAATTAATGATTATATTTCTATTTTATTAAAATCATGTGGTATGGGTCGATGAGATATACTACTTTGTATAGACATTATATTATACACCAATTATTTACGGAGTATATAATGAAGTTTAGTGACTTATCATTTTATCCCTAATCATGGATTTTTATATATTTTATTTAATTTTTTGTTATATGATATTTTTACCGTGCATCGCACGGGTTAGAATCTAGTATATATATAATCCAAGGGGGTAATGATAAGGATTCTTTTAGTAATAACATCGAAATTGAGGCTTCAAATCCTCAAAGGGACACTAGCTAGCAAAGTGCAACCGGTAGGGGAGGTGGAAGAGGACAAGAGACTGCCCTCAATATCCTCGGAGCTTCTTGAACATGACATTGAAATGGTCATAAGGGAATCAACTCCTTCAAGTCAGGGGCAGAATTCTATTTTAGAAGGTCCTGT